CCCCCCAAGCCCAGTTTAAATGCCTCCTACTCCAGAAAGCCTCCCCTTTATCTCACAGTCATGTCTGACAGCTGCTGGCAGCATCTTGTGCCTGGGTGTGGGGACTAAGCTTTCCATGCATGTCACACAGCCCTCAGCCTCCATGCCACAGAGCCACCACTGCAGCTGGGCAGCCACATCCCACAGTGGCTTTGTGCTGGGGGTATAGGGAGGTAGATCTTCCCATGAGAGGCAAGAGTTGAGGGACACCCCAGTGCCAAGGCGAGGGGCTGTGAGTGGCACAGGAGAATGATCACTGGGATGACAGCGGCAGCCACAGGATGAGGCCCAGCAGTCCCAGCTTCTCACATCAGCACCTTCATTCCTTCTCACGACAGCCCTGACACTGAGTGCCACAACCACCCCAAGTTCACTGGTGAGGAAACTGGAGCCCAGAGAGAGAGCGTGTCCAAGGCGTGGCAACCACTGGTGGCGAGAGTGAACCCCGGGCCTCTGGCCCCAAACCCCGTGCTCATTACCAGGGTTATCTGCCCTTTCGTGACAGCAGGAGAGCCTGCGTGGAGAATCGGGACTACCCTCACTAACCTTTGAGCCTCAGCTCACCCTAGTCCCTAGGATGTTCCAGGAGCCAGTCGGGTTAAGGCCACCACAGGTGCACGGCATCGGTGCATGGAGTGAAGGCATCTGCCAGAGTTTGGCACTGAGCAAAGATAACTCAGGCCATCTTAGGGACGGATTATCAGGAGCAGCCACGGTCTAAGCAGGCGACATCCACATACCACCCAGTGGTGCTGAGCAAATTAGGAGCTGTCGGAGCAGAAGCTAGAGGATGTTTGTGTCAGGCTGATGGAAGGGGCAGCAGGAAAAGGGGTGACACGCTACGGTCATGCCAAAGCTGCTCCTGGCTTCTGTTGCCAGAGGGGGCCAGTAGCACCTGAGGGTGACCCCTACTCTGTCTTAACTCCTTCGGGGCCCTTGGCAGCAGCTCTGACCCATGACACCAAGTGGGCAGAGTTAAAGGAGAACTGAGTGGCAGGGTGGAACCTCCCACAGGCCAGGGAGGAGATGAATGGGGCCACAGCTGGCACCCAGGCCACGCACACCCAACCAGAGGTCAGCTGTGCCAAGGAAGGCCCCAAAAGCCATACCGAGAGACTGGGACTTAATCCTGGTACAGGCAGCACAGCCAGACATGTGCCACAGAAAGTTGAGTGAGGTGCAGAGGAGAAGTCAGGGGTGCTTCCAGGAAGAAGAGGCCTTGAGCGAGGGTGAGCAGAACATGGAGGTGGGAGGAGAAGGGTAGCTGATGGCTACACTGCTGCTGCCTGGGCGGTGGGCTCTCACTCCTCTCATACTCACACTCGTGCATGCTTCTCGAAGTTTCCAGAATTACATCCCAAAATAGCAGGCTCTTTTTTCAGTGATTTGTGATTTGAGGTGTCAGGGTGCTGCTCTACCAACCTGGGGGCACTTGGGCTGCAGTGACGGTGACACCATGGGCACAGTGTCAAAGGACCAGAGGGCTCTGGTGAGACTGCACTGCCACAGTGACCATATGAGCGAGTGCGAGGGGCAACCGAGGGCACAGCTGCTTCCCAGCTACCTCAGGAGACACGTGCCTGAGTTCCAGAGATTTCCAAGCCAGCAACCTGAGTCTTAGATGTCCAGGCTCCAGAAAGTTGCCCAGGGTCAGAGGTTCACACTGGGCAGAGGGCTCTCAGTGCATCAGGACTCGGGAGCTGGTCATTGGGGTCTGGAGTTAGGAGCCTCGGGTGTGTGCTGAGCAAGAGGAGGACAAGTTGGCCGTGCAGACAGGAGGGGTCACCCCACTCAGGACCCGGCAGCTGAACTGCACACATACACCCTGCAGAAGACCGACCAGCCGAGCCCCGCAGGACTGGTGGCCTGAACACATGCACCACCTCAGTGTGTGGAGGAGGCCCTCCTGCCGCTCTTCCCAGACTCTGCCATCTGTCTACCCAAGCAGGGCTGGGCTGGGCACAAGAGCTACCCAGCTCACCCCAAGTGACCCAGCAGGGCTCAGGGAGGCAGGCCCTGGCCCCCAATCGGATACCCATGCCAGGACCTTGACCATGTCCCCTCTGCCTGGCGCCCATTCTGGGTTTGCCCACCCACCCTTGAACCTCAGCTCCATCCCCAGCCACCGGCCTGCTGGGTCCCACCTGCTGGTGGCCACACCATCCCCCTCTCAGCCTTGGGGGAAGCCCCCTGTCAGGTTTCCCGGTGTCCATCACCTGTCATAAGAGCTGGGGCCTGTCCCTGACACTTAAGGTGTGCTCAACAAGTATTTGCTCAATGAATTAATGAATATGTGCTAATGGCTGCATCTATTATTTATCTGATGTAAAATTTGGGGTCAGAAGCACAGCCCCTGATTATGGCATCAGTCCCATGAGAAATGACAGCTCTGTTAGGCTTTACTGTGTGGCTTCCAGGAACCCATTAAAGTTAATTACACTCCAGCAGAATGTGACAATTCTAGTCCACCACTTAGCTCTCACATTTGGAAAACTGTGCAGCTCCTCCAGTCACTGCTGGGAATGGGGTTTCTGCATTCTGTTTATCTCTGCGGAAAGGTCCCCCCCCCAAGGCCTGAGACTCCTCACTTTTCAGAGCTTGTTCTTCCTGAACTCTTTCTTAAAAAGGCGCAACATTGGTTTTGAAGAATGTGATCGGCCAGGCGGAACATGGGGTCTCAGGGCAGCTTCTCTCTTATCAGGGGTAATGACCGTGCCTCTGGGCATCCTCCCCCAACTCAGCCTGGTTCCTTCTCAGCACTGATGCTGTCGGACCTGTACCTCAGACAAGTCAGGGTCTGTGGGAGAGCAGGATTTCAGTGTGGATCCCCCACCCTGGGATAACCTCCCTTGGGCCCAGTAGCACTGCCTGTCCACCCCAGAAATGCAGTGAGCCTGGAGCTCCAGGACGTGGGACTTGGAGCACATTACCTGCCTCTTTAAGCCTCGGTTTCATCGTCTGTACAATGGGAATAGGGAGGTGTGAGGATCTGACAAGCGGTGCTGTGTCCACACTGCCAGCAACAGCTGTAGTTTCATTGCTACCACATCAGTGGTATAATTTGGTCAGAAAAGTTCTTAAACCAAAAGCCTCAGATGTAAACTGGTTCTAGATTTTAGACACTCAGCTTGTTCATTTTATCTTAAAACAAGAGACAGCTTCCACCAGCAGTAATTCAGCAGGAGTAGAAATTCCTTTAGCAGAGCTGTCAGTTCTGTGTGGAAACTCAGAGAGAGGAGGTAAAGAAGGGCTGGACCACTCTCTGTGGTCCCTGCACCTGAGCCACCATCCTGTGGCACACCAGGGGGTAGGGGCATGGGATCTGCCCTGGGCCATGTGTGACCTCCAGTGAGCCTGAGGCCCAGCAGCGACAGAGGAGCAGACACACACACACACGCACACACCCCACTCTGAACTGGAGTCTTTGGTTTCAAAAGCTCAGGCCATCCCCTCACAAATTCCAGCTGAGGACTGACAATACTTAGCAGAGCAGGATCGAGGCTCAAAGGATGGGGCCCAAACCCCAGCAGGCCGCAGCTGACCGCCAGGCAGCAGGCTGGCCATGCTCACATTGAGGGAGACAGGATAGTGTCTCCCATGGGCGACCTGAGCTTGCATGTGCCAGTGGGGCAGGCTGGGCCTCAGGGTGTAAGGTTAGAGATGCCCAGTAAACCGCGCCCAGGGAGGCCAGACTGGAGCCCCAAAGCCACATGTCACCCAGAGGAGGGTCCAATAGGGAAGGAGAGCCTCTTACGAACACACGCCAGGCTCTGGGGCTTAGAGGGAGGCGCCAGCCACTTCAGGGCTCCAGAGCCTGTGGGAGATGGTGAAGACAGTTCACCTGGCAGAGGAAGGACTCCCAACAGAAGGGAGCTTTCGTGGGGGCCAGCCCTGGGCTGGGGGGCTAGGGCCTCGCTGCGCGCCCGGGTTAACGCCCGCACGTTCCCCCCGCAGAGTCGGATGGCAGAGAGCCTGCGCCTGTTCGACTCCATCTGCAACAACAACTGGTTCATCAACACCTCGCTCATTCTCTTCCTGAACAAGAAGGACCTGCTGGCGGAGAAGATCCGGCGCATCCCGCTCACCGTCTGCTTCCCCGAGTACAAGGGCCAGAACACCTACGAGGAGGCCGCCGTCTACATCCAGCGGCAGTTCGAGGACCTGAACCGCAACAAGGAGACCAAGGAGATCTACTCCCACTTCACCTGCGCCACCGACACCAGTAACATCCAGTTCGTCTTCGACGCAGTGACAGATGTCATCATACAGAACAATCTCAAGTACATAGGCCTTTGCTGAGGGGCCAGGGCCAGCCCGCTTGCCTGTGACGAAACCCCTGGGGTGTCACACCCCAACTCCACTTGTGCTAGGGAGACCCAGCCCAGGGGCAGAAAACGGGGCCTGAAGAATGTCCCCGCGCCCCTCCGCCTCCTTGGCCCCCACATTTCCACAAACATAAATATATACGGATAGATTGCTAGGTAGGTAGACACACGCACGCACGCGCACACAGTCTGGAGACGGCAAAGTTCCCAAAGCGTCGCAGTCTCTTGAAGATTTGAGGGGCTGTCACCAAGTTCCCTACGGGCCCTTCCCTCTTCCTGAGTTGGCCCCACTCTGCATGGGGGCCCCCCCGTGGGACTGCGGGGAGAGATCGCGGGGCCACCTAGACGAGGCCAGCTCTGCCCTAGAATAGGGACCTTGCCGTTGACCAGGAGGGGGGACCAGAGAAGGTCCGAGCTCCTTCGCTGCTGGACACGCGCGTTCTGGCCTACTCAGTACCACGTTCTGCGTTCTGGAACCAGGGTGCGAGGCCAGGTGACAGCACTAACCAGACCTCCAGCCACTCACAGCTCTTTTTAAACAGCTTCAAAATATGCAGCAAAAATCCACACAATGACATGAGTGGCACGATTTGTTTCCAACTAGGCCAGCTGGGTTCCAGCTTTTCTTCTACTCGTCTGATGTTTTATAAATCAAACCTGGTTTTTCTTCTCTAACATCCTTTTTTTTTGGCCAAACCTCGTGGTGTTTCGCAAAAAACAAAAAACAAAAAACCAAAAAAAAAAATTCAAATGCAGTTGGGTGTTCTTTTTTAAAATGCAGATTTTCAAAACCTATTTTTTTTTCAGGTGGTCCTTTTTGTGTCTGGCTTGCTGAGTGTAACAGTTGTTATCTGGACGAGTCTGTCCCTTGCTCCCGAGCAACGCTGGGGTGACGGCCGCCCTGTGGCAGCCTCGCAGGGCAGCGTTGTGCATACGCCTGTGCCGCGTCCTGTTACTGGTGCAGTTTCTGCTTCGTTTTTATTTCAGAAAATAAATGTGATGTATTTAAAGAAGGTTCTTCACCTAGGAGCGAATGAACAATAGCTAACTGTCTTGGTATTTAAAGAGTAAATTATCTGGCTTTGCAAGTAGAGGAAGGGGAGGCGAGAGACAGGGCCCTGGCCCCAAACACCCCGCGCCTGAGGCTGAGAGCAGCTGCGACCCCTGTGAAGGCTCAGCCAGTGTTGTAGCCTGAGGGAGGCCCTGCTGGGACCACCAGCTCCAGCGCATTTTGCCCCAGGGCCCATGGTACCTGCCACCATGAAAGGACCTTGGCCAAGGATTGCGTGTAAATACGAACCCCTGCTGCCGCTGAGAGGGAAGGCACCGCCAGAGACCTTGCCAAATCTTCTCTCTTTGCCTTTGTTCGGTACCCATGTGTCCAAGGTCAGGGCCAGAACCACAGCCAAGGACTTTAAGAGACGTACAGAGGAAAGAGGATCTGGTATGGTATGAAAGTCAAAGATTGTCTACTTTAAGAAAATAAAATATCCTGAATGAGCCAAGCCTTGTCCCAGCGTGCTGTGTGTGTGCAGGGCTGAGAGGGTGGCTGGGACACCTTCCATCCTGAGGTTCCTTTCTTTCTGTACCTCCCCTCCTAATACATTTAGGTAAAATCATCTTGAAATGAACATCAAAAACAAACACCCACAAGAGAGGAAAGAACCTGCAAAAGGGGAGCTCTGCCAGGCCCATGTGTCCTGAGGGGCTGAGGTTTGGGGGTGATGATGTCTCCTGCTCCTCCCGCTGTCCCCAAGATTTTGCCCTGGCTGTACTGTCATCCAGACTCCTCATACCCATAGACACCTCTGCCAGGGTCAGAGTTGTCCCCACAGAGCAGAAGAGGTGCCGAGAGTCTAGAGGGTGCCAACAACCCCCAACAGTGTGGGGTGGCCCTGCAGGATGTGGGAAGGAGGTGTCCCCGCAGGCTCACCAATTGCTGACTGATTAGAGGCATCTCCGTGTGGTGGAAAGCACTAATCAGAAGCCAAGGGAGTTTGTTCACCCTGCACTAGGCTTCTTACAAAGTATTTAACACTCACTGCTGAGGCAGGTTGTCTGCAGCAACCCATTTTATAGATGAAAGGGCCCAAGGTCAAGGTCAGGGAGTGGGGGGGCAGTGCCTCCTGAGGACTGCATCCTCCCCTGGCTCTGCCCCTGATCACTTTGTGCCTGGACGGAAGGGACAGAAGCCCATGGGGAGTACAGAGCCACCCTTTGTCACCTCCTTGAACCCAGGACCCACAGAAAGCCATGGGTGAGGGGCAGCAGACACATGCACGCACACAGGTACACACAGGCAGATACTCAGCGCTCAGTCACACACAAACCTGGCTCTCCCCGCCCACCACCCGCCACCCCTGAGCCCACGAGGGGATTCCCTTCAAGCCTTCCCACGTCACCAGCAGAAGCCCAAGGCGGCTCTTTTATAAGAAGAAACAACGTGTGACCTGTAATCATTGAGGCTTATTTTGCGCTTTTAATGCCAACTGTGAAAAGATCAGTAATCTCACTGTGAGCATCTTTAACCTAAAAATACACGGCTAGAGGGAAATGGGAGAATTCTGCCTCCTCTCCTAAAGCGTTCAAGGATGGGAGGAGGCTGCCCTGGGCCAGCCAGGTCAGTCCCTCTACCCTGAGGTGACAGGGCCAGGAGCAGCGGGAAGGGTGGGGACTGCTCTGGGCCACCTCACCAGGCAGAACTACACTGCGTGAGGGGAAGAGCACACATTTTGCTTCTCTAGTGGCCACTCCACCTAGAGTTCCACTACTCACGGCTTCAGCTCCCTCTGGACACAGTCACTCAATTTCTCTCTCTAGCCCTGATGGTATTTGACTCCAGCACCTCAAAACTATCAGGATCAAACCTGTGTCCAGACATCTCCGAGTTGTGTCCTGTCCCTCCCTGGCCTTGCCCTGGTCCTTTCTAAGGCCAAGGAGCCAGTGTCCACAAGAGAGGCCTGAGCATGTCCTCATGGCTCCCTCCCCCCAGGAAGGGGCATCTGCCTCCACCCCCACGGTACCCCCAAGCCCAGGCTGCACACAAGGGTCAGGACAGAGCGGTCCTTACAACATACGGCAGTTAAAGCTGGACCAGCGGCTCCAAGCCTGGCACGGGAACAGATGACGGGAAGGAGCCAGGCCAGACTCCCAGGTGTGCCAGTCAGGGCCCGAGATCACTGTCAGAGAGAGGGCCCAAGGGGGCCTGGGCATGGTCAGTGGGTCCGGTAGAGGGACACTTCCCAGGCACCCCAGGCTGTTTAGCTGCACCCCAAAATCCAGTTTTAGCATTAGAACTGAACACCTGGCCACAAAAGGAGACACGTTTCTTCCAGAATTGCAGGCGGTCACTCAGGGAGCCTGGACCTGCAGCCTCTGTGTGACATTTGCCTCTGCAATCCTGGTTTCTCCTCTCCTGAAACGGCACCACCCTGAAGCCCGAGATCCACAGCAGGGCCAGTCGGGCTCTGATCAGTCCTGTGGCGCCCTTTGCTGGTTACTGTGGCAAACCACACAGTAAACCAGACTCCACCCAGCACCAGGACTCAGGAAAGATCTCCATTCTCTCCCAGATACCCCAACACATTTGTCAAACAAACGAAGGGGTGAGTGAGTGAATTGCAGCAAGAAAACAACAACAAATGATCTTCAAATATTTGGCATAAGACCCACTAAGCAGCCAATAGTTGTTGAGTACCAGCCACATGCCAAGCACTCCACCCACCTGGGGTAGAAGGTGCTTTCCAGTGTGGCCATGGATAGAAAACCCATACTAAGGAGCACCAGTACGAGAGCTGGCTGAGCCTCGAGTGCAGACTGTCCCAGCCAAATCACACTGTCACCTAGGCTACCTGTTGTGCTCAGTGATGAAACTTGGGCTTCAACAGGCTTTGCTACTGCCCAGAGTCACCGCTGATAAGAATGGAGGCACTGAAACAGGTGGCCTCAGCCTACCCAGAGACCCAGCAAGAACACCTCCAGGGCACTGGCCTACCCAGAAGCCACAGCACTCAGAGCACATCCCCCACCAGATGACCTCCTGGGGTGCTCACCTTACTACATGTCTCCCTCCCTCCTTCCAGCTAGAGTGTCTCAGGCCTCCCTTCTGGACATATCACAGACAATGTGCAGCACCCAGGAAATCCTGTAATAAAGGCAGAGGCTCACCACCCAGGCCCCTGATGAGGCTTGTCAGAACCATAGCCCCCCAACTCCTCACTGTACACCCACAGTTTAGGGATTCCAGAAAATTTTGCAGGGAGGAGATGCAGGGGGTGGGACCTGTCCCCCAGATTCCCATAGAGTTTTTGTAATTAAGACAGTGTTGGCCTTACAAGGGCTAGACAAGATGACCTCAAAGCAGACAAAAATCTATCCCAGGGACTGTCACAGGCCAAATGTAGCTCTTAAACCTCACCAAATTCTCTTAAACAGCAGCACCCCCCCCAAAAAAAACAAAACAAAACAAAACACACACACACACACACACACAAAAAGAAAACATTGATGAAACTGACTGCATTCAAATGAAAAACTACTGGACCAATGAGTAGACAAATAAACAGTGAAAAGCCACACAACCAGCCAAGGAAATGGTATTTCCAATGTGTGTAACCCACAAGGGTTGGTACCCAGAGTAAATGAAACGCTCCCTCCAATCAATAAGAAATGGAAAAAGTCAGTTCCACGAATGGGCTCAGGCTCNTGTTCCCTCCAATCAATAAGAAATGGAAAAAATCAGTTCCACGAATGGGCTCAGGCTCCTGGGAGGCACTGTGCAGGGGAGGAGACCAAGGGGGTGCCAGGCCGAGGAAAATGCCCCCTCCCCTGGTCACTGGAGACAACGAAGTCACACGTAGTGACGCGGCACAGCAGGCCATTGGGTTGCTGGCTAGGACGCAGCATGTGCACTGTCGGGCCACACTGAGGGCTGCATTCTCCATGCCCACGACGCTGTCCTCCAGCTGAGCCCCACGCTCAGCAGCAGAAACAACGGCGTGCCTGCCAGCCAGGCAGGGTGAGCACGGTGTGTGNTGCTCAGCCAGCCTGCCACGCCAGGCAGGGTGAGCACGGTGTGTGTAAGTACACATCCAAACCCCAGGACATGCCGCAGTTATAATGAAACAGAGCCCGTGACACGCCATAGGTAAATCTCAAANCTCAGCAGCAGAAACAACGGCGTGCCTGCCAGCCAGGCAGGGTGAGCACGGTGTGTGTAAGTACACATCCAAACCCCAGGACATGCCGCAGTTATAATGAAACAGAGCCCGTGACACGCCATAGGTAAATCTCAAAATTATAACATTACATTTTTTAAGGAGCGAAGAGATACAGACAGCAAGATCCATTTACATCAAGTTCAAAAACATGCAGGGAAAGATCTATATCTAATCACATCTGTGGTAAAATATAAAGACGTGTTGGGGTTATAGTTCCCAAATTACTAGTGGCTCCAGGGAGGGCAGGAGAAACGGTGCTGAGTGGGGGAGGTTCACAGGGGGCTTGGGCTGCATTTTTTAACACACATATGAAATATGGTAGGATGTTAAGATTTAGGAAACTGAGTGATGGTACCTGATGTTCATTATCATCGTCTCTCTGCTTCTCTGAATGCTTTAAAGGTTCCTGCATAGCGAGCACAGGGCTCAACCCCAAGCACTGGCCCATCATAGAGACACCCCGATATCCCAGTGCCTCTTACCATTGCCACACAGGAGACTCAGCCAAGGTCTATTTAAGAAAGATGTCCGCAGGTCCCCATCCCCGGAGCCCCAGAGATGATTCTGCCAGCAAGAGATAAGGGTGGTCTTTTTGGAAGACCACCAGGAGGTTCTGCCTTCCAGGCCAGCATGCTCCCCAGGGCTCCACCCCGGGAGGCCTGCCCCCTGCACTGAGCCCATTGCCGGCGCCCGCCCCTCGCCCTGACTGTTTACGGGACCCTTCATGTGGGGCGCTGTGCTGCATGCTCGGTGAGCAGCTTCTCACTTGACCTTGCTTTAGCCACACCTGAGAGATGAGGCAATAGGCTGTCCAGGGGCACTCAGCAAACGAGGGGCAGAGCAGAGGGAACCCAGGTCTGTTTGAGTCCTGGGCCACAACACCTGTTTGTCCACCTTAGTGCATCCCCTTTAAGGCTTGATATAATGCATCTTTGAGCCCCTCGTTTAAAATGCTCATTGCATCATGTGACGGAGCTAATGTCAATCGGACACAGATCTCAACCCTCAGGTGGCCATTGCCCTGGACTCTGCATCTCACTGGGGAGGCAGGTGGACATCAAGCCAGGAGACAGACTGGCCTTTGGGGCAGGCCTTTTTAATCCTTAAAAGCACACTGTGGCACGTTACAAAAGAGGACATTTATAGAGTTACAATCACCAGGAAAATACAAATTAAAACCAAAACGCAACACTACCACACACTCACCAAAATAGCTAAAATAAAAAAACAGGAAAGATGGAGTGTGGGTGAGACTCCAGAGCGCCTGGAACTCCCATCCACAACCGATGGCAGTGGAAATTGGTATAACTATTTTCTAAAACCATCTGTAGTATCTTCTAAAGCTGGACATAAACTTATCCTATGCCCAGCTAGTCTCAAAAGAAATGTATACAACATCCACCGAAAGACATTTGTAAGAATGTTTATAGCTGCTCTGTTCTTGGTAGCCATACACTAGAAACCACTAAAATGTCCATTGGCAACTTTGGATGATAAACAGCAGATATATTATTTGGTGGATAAATAAACTGTAGTATTCTCAGAAAATGTGAATATCACACTCTGTGCAAATCAGCAAAANACATGCCGCAGTTATAATGAAACAGAGCCCGTGACACGCCATAGGTAAATCTCAAAATTATAACATTACATTTTTTAAGGAGCGAAGAGATACAGACAGCAAGATCCATTTACATCAAGTTCAAAAACATGCAGGGAAAGATCTATATCTAATCACATCTGTGGTAAAATATAAAGACGTGTTGGGGTTATAGTTCCCAAATTACTAGTGGCTCCAGGGAGGGCAGGAGAAACGGTGCTGAGTGGGGGAGGTTCACAGGGGGCTTGGGCTGCATTTTTTAACACACATATGAAATATGGTAGGATGTTAAGATTTAGGAAACTGAGTGATGGTACCTGATGTTCATTATCATCGTCTCTCTGCTTCTCTGAATGCTTTAAAGGTTCCTGCATAGCGAGCACAGGGCTCAACCCCAAGCACTGGCCCATCATAGAGACACCCCGATATCCCAGTGCCTCTTACCATTGCCACACAGGAGACTCAGCCAAGGTCTATTTAAGAAAGATGTCCGCAGGTCCCCATCCCCGGAGCCCCAGAGATGATTCTGCCAGCAAGAGATAAGGGTGGTCTTTTTGGAAGACCACCAGGAGGTTCTGCCTTCCAGGCCAGCATGCTCCCCAGGGCTCCACCCCGGGAGGCCTGCCCCCTGCACTGAGCCCATTGCCGGCGCCCGCCCCTCGCCCTGACTGTTTACGGGACCCTTCATGTGGGGCGCTGTGCTGCATGCTCGGTGAGCAGCTTCTCACTTGACCTTGCTTTAGCCACACCTGAGAGATGAGGCAATAGGCTGTCCAGGGGCACTCAGCAAACGAGGGGCAGAGCAGAGGGAACCCAGGTCTGTTTGAGTCCTGGGCCACAACACCTGTTTGTCCACCTTAGTGCATCCCCTTTAAGGCTTGATATAATGCATCTTTGAGCCCCTCGTTTAAAATGCTCATTGCATCATGTGACGGAGCTAATGTCAATCGGACACAGATCTCAACCCTCAGGTGGCCATTGCCCTGGACTCTGCATCTCACTGGGGAGGCAGGTGGACATCAAGCCAGGAGACAGACTGGCCTTTGGGGCAGGCCTTTTTAATCCTTAAAAGCACACTGTGGCACGTTACAAAAGAGGACATTTATAGAGTTACAATCACCAGGAAAATACAAATTAAAACCAAAACGCAACACTACCACACACTCACCAAAATAGCTAAAATAAAAAAACAGGAAAGATGGAGTGTGGGTGAGACTCCAGAGCGCCTGGAACTCCCATCCACAACCGATGGCAGTGGAAATTGGTATAACTATTTTCTAAAACCATCTGTAGTATCTTCTAAAGCTGGACATAAACTTATCCTATGCCCAGCTAGTCTCAAAAGAAATGTATACAACATCCACCGAAAGACATTTGTAAGAATGTTTATAGCTGCTCTGTTCTTGGTAGCCATACACTAGAAACCACTAAAATGTCCATTGGCAACTTTGGATGATAAACAGCAGATATATTATTTGGTGGATAAATAAACTGTAGTATTCTCAGAAAATGTGAATATCACACTCTGTGCAAATCAGCAAAAATCAGTAATATATAACATATGTGGATCTCAGAGGCAAAGTGTTGGGTAAAAGAAGATAGAAACACAATAGTACTGGCTAAGTGTTTCCATTTACATAAAGTTTTAAAAGATGCATTAACTAATCTATGGTCTTATAAATCGAAGATACTTTTCACCTTTGGGCGAAGGAAGTAACTGTTAGGGGGCCTGTGGAAAGTTTCTGGAGAGCTGGGGATATTCCATATACATATTGATCTGGGTAGTGATTCTGGGCAGGTTCGCTTAGTACAATTTAATCAATGTTCATGTATGATTGGTGCCTTTTTAATATGTATGTTGTACCTTAATTAAAGCATAAATTTTTTTAAAATGTGCTCTAGACTGTGATCTGCAGCAAGGTACATGCCTGACCTGGAGAGGAGACCGAGGGGCTGCCAAGCACCCACTGTGAGCCTACCTGCAGGCAGCTGGGCCAGGTGCTTGAATGCCAAGTGCAGGTTCTCCCGGCAGGCTGTCTGGGGGTCATTCAGCAGGTGGGACAGGGCATCGATGATGTCATGCTTCAAAAAGCCTTCTCTGGGGAAGAGAAGTTGGATTTAGACACAACTCAGACCAAGCCTGGAGAGGACCCAGGGAGAACCAAGAGCCAGTTGGCCACCCTCACCCCCTCCTGGATTCTGCACCTGTGCAGCCTGCTGCAGACCGCACCCCTCTGGCATCCTCAGAGAAGACAAAGGCCAGAAACAGATGATATTTTATGGATTCCCTCCAGGCAGTGAGAGCAGGGTGGCTTTTGTGGTGGTGGAAAGAGCCACAGCTCTGCCCCTTCCTAGCTAGGACTCACACTCAGGTTCTTTGTACCCTGGGCCTTTCCTTTTACTCCTCTGAGCCTCAGTCCTATTGTCTGTAAAATGGGGAAGAGACAGCAGAATCCGTAACTGACCTCTCCTGAATGGACAGCAGAGTGGCCCCCTCTCTCCACCCGCCCAGCACTGATGCTCCAGGGCAGTGAGCCACTTGCTGCCCCTCCCTCTTCTCCCAGCTGAGATGCCAGCTTGCCGGCAGCCAGCTGCTTGCCTTCAAATCTATGATGCCTGTTCAATCCTCGTTGTTATAATTATATAAGTTAATTAAATATTAGGCAAGCCAATTAGATGAGAGAAGAGTGTTTTTAATTTCCTTAAGAAAACCAAGTTGAATGCTTTGGGAAGACTCAAAAGTGAGTCTCTGAAGAAAAGTGAGAGGATTGTAAAAGACCCTGGAAAGTGTCTGCATACAGATTACTTCATTAATGTCTGAGTTGTTGCTCTACTTTAAAGAAACTAAAGCTGCAAATTAGATGAAGTTACAGGTGTGGTTTAAACCAAAAAAAATGGTGGGAAACTCCAATCAGTGGGCCCATATCAAAGAAAAGGCCTGGGTGGCACACAGGGATTGGTAAATGCCTAATTTGTGTTTGGGGTCAAAATGAACTATTCAAAGGGAACGTATAATTTCTCCGATTCCTGGCTTTTTAACCATTTCTTTTGCTTAACCAACTAACTGCTAGACCCAATCTCATCTGTCCAGGGGTGGGATGTAGCTCCAAAGCCTGACATTGGTTTCCATAAATAGCAGCCCACCTGCCCACATTATGGGTCGCCATGATGTGCAGCGCTTCAGTGGTCTTGATCCGCACCATGTGGTTGCTATCCTTCAGCAAAGCTTTCAGGCTCTCCAGGCAGCCTGCGAGGCAGAAAAACCTTTGAACGTTTATCAGTCTCAAAATTCAACGAACCCAGAAGTCAACAGGTGAGCCAACATCAGGTAACAGAGGTTACCAGGGGTTCTGCTGCTTTTGGGCGTGGGGGAATCACATAACTTAGGAAGTATTTCAGTCACTCCAGGGGGCTCTGTGTGCTCACACCCAGGGACTGTTTCATCAAACCCCTTCGTGGATCTCCCTGCACACTTCCCATCAGTGCCTCCTTCTCTTGCAATCCACCACGGGACTAAGAAAATGGCCTTTGCATTTGGAGAGGCCGGGTTCCAATTCCAACTCTGTCCCCAACTAGTTATGTACCCTTGAATGGGTTGGTTACACCTAGGGATGCCAGACTGAGCAAATAAAAAATCCTGATGTATTTATTTATCAGGCCACCCTAGCCTCACCCCCTTTCTCTGCACCTCAGTTTTCTTACCTGCTGGTTGATAATGCTCCCCCCCTCCCAGAGCAGGTGCTATGAGAACTAAGATAACATAAGCACTGCATGTGTTGGCCCAGAGTCAGGCTCATTAATCAGCAACCCTTATGACTGAAGCTCCACTAGGTGTTCAAGGCCACACAAGGACCACCACCACCTCTGAAATTAAATCAGCCCTTCAGCCAAGGCTGGAGGGAGAAATGGCAGTTCACTCATCCTGTGCCCAATCTGGGAAAGTTGTGGCCATGCCACTAAAATCACCTCAACTTTTATTTTGGTAATTAGGAGAGTGGGAAACAAGGGACAGAGGTCCCAGATACCATGTGCTTTCAATAGGGCATGTGCCTATCTTTTTGTGACAGCCTTGTGGATGAAACAGATAAACAGGGCAGTTTGGTAGATCTGTGGCCACCTGGTCGAGCCATAGCAGAGGGGGCTGGTTTGTAGCTCTGCGTCGGCTGCTGGGGTTGTCCTGCAACAACTGACTGACCAGCTGAGAGGGATGCTGGGAAGGGACCAGGTCACCTCAGCTCCTCCCACCTCAAGCTACTCTATGTCTGTCCATCCAGATCCCAGTCATGGTCACCTGGGCTCTGTGACACTCTCACCTATGTCGATGGCCACATAGACATGCTCGGGGTCGTGCATGAGATCACACAGAGCCATGAGGGCTTTCTGCCTCGTCAGCAGGTCCTCCGACTGCAGTTCCTCATTCAGCTTGGGCAGGGCCCGAAAGCCATAGGCAATGGCAGCCTGGGCGGGGTTGATGTCGGGAGGCAGGTACAAAGAGATCCAGGTATGGGCCATCTTTCCACACCAGCAGAGGGTGACTCTGTAGCTTTCAAAACGAAGCTCTGCAGAAACCACTGATTAAAAGAACCCAAAAAGTTGTCATTGTTACTACTGGGATTTAGAAGCTACTTCTCATTGGATCCTCAAAACTGTAAGCACAGCTGGGTGGATATTTTTACAACCATTTTACAGATGAGCAAACTGAGGCAGTGAAGGGATCTGCTCACAGTCACAGTGAAAGTAAGTAGCAGCCCAAACTGCAAACTCCAGAGTTCTCCCATGCTTAAGAACAGAAGAAAGCAGCCACACTTTACTAATCTGATCACTAATTTAGTACCTATCTTGTGCCAGCAATAGCTAGTATCTAAATCAACTACCGCAGAAGAAGGGGACGTGTATTATCCTCATTCTACAAAGGAAGACGTTAAGGTTTAGAGATGAGGAGCTTGCTGGAGGAAACAGAACCGGTAAGACTAGGAGCCAACCTTTGAATCAGGGTCCAACTCATTAACCCATCAGGGACCCATATTCAGATGCTTCTGACACATCCACAAAAGAGTTCAGAAGGAATTACTTTAAAAAGGTTAAAAGGTGAATTATTTTTATTACACACACACACACACACTCTTTGAGCTACTGTAGGCAGTGTGGCTTAGTACTAAGAACGGGCTCCAGACCCGGGTCACGGGTGGCCCTTGACAATTTCTTCCTCTATCTGTGTCTTTCAGCAGCTGCAAAAGCGACTTGATAATTGCAAGTCTCGCTCCCAGAGTTGGCGTATGACCCCATCCTCATGAGCCTGGCACACCACGGCTCCAGATATGTCGGCCGTGGTCACTGTTGCGGCAGTGGTTGTTGCTGTCAGTGTTTAGTGGCAGTGACGGGCCCCAGCCCTGTAGGATTCTGCTCCAGTTAAAGAAGGAAACCGAACTCTGGTCTTGGGCACCAGGTGTCAGGGGGAGGCCGACGGCCCGGCTGGGAGGGACGCGGCCATTTCCTGTTTGGGCTCCCCCTGCAGGGAACGGTGGGCCCTGGGGACAGGGGCCTGCCCTCCTCTAAGGGGCATGGGCTGCGGATGAAAGAGCCTTGGGGTGTGAGGACGAAGGACCCATGCGAGCGGGACTGCGTGGGTCTGGGGGCCCCCTGTCTTGGGCCCCTGTCTGGTGCCGCCGGCTCACCTGCCTCAGCTCGCGCGGTCCCTGTGGCGCAAGCCCGTTGCCAGGCGACCCGGTTGCCGGGCGACGCACGCGGCGTCCTCAGCGCCGCGCTCTGCACACTTGGCGCCCACTGCGCAGGCGCGAACAGCCCTGAGCTGGGACCCGCTGTAAAGCGGGGAGGATGGTGTTTTACAGGGTTACTGTGGGGAGCAAAGGCGGCTCAGCTTCGTTTATGGCACGGAAGGGAAGGGAAATGAACGTGTACGGCCTTCTCTGTACTGAACACTTTGCGTGCCTTTAATCCCCAAAGTAACCCCCTGAGGTGCTAACATTATCCATTTTACAGGCAGGAATCTCAGAGGTTAGTAGCTTGGGGAAATCTCACACAGGCCCCATCCCAAGACTGCCTAGCCCTGCTCATGCTCCTTGCTCTGCAGGCTGATCGCCTGGTAATGACACAGATCGGCCGCTGCAGTGGACTAATCTTTTTAATTGTGTGACCCTTAGTCTCCTTGTGTGTGAAATGGGGAGCTGAGTGAAATAGATTCTCAAAGCTGGGAACCCTGGGCCTCTCAGAATCTGGGTATAAAGTCTTTTTTTTTAAAAAAATTGCCCTTCAGTTTTATCATTTTTCAATCTCCTTTTTATCTTTTTAAATATACATATAACATTATACGTAGCACGTATGTTAATTTGTGAAACATAGAAATCTGATAACCACCTGTGAATACACCACGAAAACATTATCAATGCCTGTGTCCCCTTCCCTTTTCCTGTGTCCCATCCTCCTCTCCAAAGGTAACTGCTGTCTCATTTTTGTGATTATACAATCTTTACAAGCGCCTCTGGAGGCCATCTAGCCCCACATGGCTCACTCTCTAAACAGAAACTAGCTTACAGGAGCTCAGTGGCTTGGGTCAGCTTTTAAACAGCCATTAATTACAGGAATTAATTTTGTTGTGTGAGCTCTAGTAGACAGGCATATGGCATTCAGGCGCCATTAGATTCAGAACAATGCAGATTAAGGTCCCTAAGTGGTAGGCATGTCGATCACTTGCCACTGCAGGGTGCTAGACTCTAATCAAATGCCAATACTACAGCAAGAGCTCTTATGCCATGATTACAAAGAGGAGGAGGTGTCTGCAGGAAAGAGTTGAAGGAAGGAAGCACACTAAAGTACACTAGAGCTGACCTGGAAGGGCCAGAGATGTGGGATGTTATTTATTCTGTGTTTTGATGTATTTCTTTTCATTTGACTTATTTCTTTAATAGGCAATATATACACATCAAGGAAAATCCAAAAAGTATGAAAGAAAATGTCTCCCTTGATCCCCAGCCAACAGGTTGTCTACATCTGTGGCAACCACGGGTATCTTTCCAGATGTAAACTAAACTTACACAAGTAAATATGATTTATTTACTTTTTAATATTGTGGCAGCATAGTTCAAACACTCTTTCCCACCTTCTACTTCTTCCTCTTTTTAAATCCTCACCCAAAGACATGCTTATTGATTTTGGGGAAGGGGTGTAGGAGAGAGAGACACAGAGAGAGAGAGAAACATTGATCGGTTGCCTTCCCATATGCTCCCCATCCAGGGATCAAACCTGCAACCTACATATGTGCCCTGATTGGGAATGGAACCTGAAACCTTTCAGTGTATCAGACAGTGTTCCAAACAACTAAGCCACACTGGCTGGGGCTCCACCGTCTCTTTTTTAATTTAATATTTGTTCACTCATTTAACATTCACTAAGTGTCTGCTATGTGGAGGCACTGTTCCATCAACGTGATACATCAATGAGCTAAACACAAAAACCCCTGTTGTCATTGCTCTCAGTAGAGGGAAATACACAATCAATATAAGCCATAAGTTATATAACATGTTAGAAAATAGTAAGTGCCTGGAGAAACAGAGCAGAATAAGGGGTTGGGAAGATGTTGTAATTGTAAATACGGTACTTAGGGGAGGCCTCATCTAGAGGTAACATCTGAGCAAATTTGAAGAAGGTGAGGAAAGGAAGCGATGTGAATATCTGGGGAAAGAGCGTTCCAGGCCCAGGGAACAGCCAGTGCAAATACCTGTGTGCCTGGCCTGTTAGAAAAACAGCAGCAAAGAGGCCACTGGAGCAATTGGGGGTGGGATGGAGGAGGGTGGTAAGCATTAGGGGATGAAGTAAGAGAGAAAATGGGGCCAGGGCAAATCACAGAGGACCTCTTGGGCCATTATGAAGACTTCATTAATCTGAGAGCCACGAGGAGACATTAAAGGGTTTGGAGCCAAGGGTGGACATGATCCGATCTGTGTTTTAACAGGATATCCTACTGAACTGGGAATAGAATACGGGCAAGGGCGGAAGCAGAAAGACCAGTTAGGAGGAGAGAAGATGAAGGCTTGGGCCGGGATGATACCAATGGAAGATAGGAATACTGGACATATTGTCAGCGTAGAACCTATAGAATTTACTGATAGATGAGATATGGGATGTGAAAGGAGTCAAGGGATCTCAAAGATCCCTCCATACCAATATAGAATAAAAACTATGAAATATTTACATAACCAGAAAAAAACACCATATTTAATATATTACAAAAATAAATACTTAAGCGCTTCACATCACAATCCCTCCCAGTCTGAGCCCCCACCCCTGCGGGCTATGTTGGTTGCGGGGAGGTCCAGTGCGCAGGTCTCTCCGCCGTCAGCCCCGCCCAGGCCCCGCCTTAGGAGCCCAGGCTCCACCCCGGCCGCTCTGACCCCGCCCACAGCCCCATATCCGGCCCCGCCCTCGTTACCGTCGTGCTCTCGGGCGCTCGCGCGGAGTCCATGCAGTAGCCTTGTCAAGTGCTCACCGCTTCCTCCTGGCCCTGGTTGCTATGGTGACAGCCCGTTCTGGCCGCAATGGGACTATTTCCGCTGTGAGCCCCGCCCAGACCCAACCCTCCCGACGTCCAGGATTGGTCAGACGGCCTCCGGTCCCGCGTGGCCGTGGTTGCCATGGTGATTGCTGCAGCGAACCCAGCCCGACCAGGCCGCGTTGAACCCCAGTCCTCCGCAGCCACTGCGGGTGAGTCCGCCGCGCCCCTCGGCCCCACCCTCGGCCCACCTCCCACCGCCACATTCTGAACCCGGCCTGAGGCGCCCCTGGGCCTCAACATTTCCTGAACCCCGACCCTGGGCCAGGCCCGTGCTGGTGCTGGAGGAGAGCTGGGTCAGGGCGAGGAGGACGAGAGGCCTCGGTCAAGGCCACCCTAGAGTGGAAGCGGGGAGGGCAGCAGGAGAGGTAGGGCTGTTGACTAGGCGTCAGGGGCCCGTCCTGGGTGGGGTGGCAGATCTGTGGGCTGAAACCTAAGGCCCTCGGCCCACGCAGAACCTTCATCCCTTAGAGACTAGGAGCAGGAACCGCCTCTCCACCCCCCATCCCATTTCACTTCTTTCACCGGCCTGCGAGGCCTGAGATGTGTGTGCCATGCCTCACTCACAGCCGAGAGGGGCCACTCCTGGTTGGACATCCGACAGGAGGAGAGAGACCCAGGGATTCTGGACCCCCAGGCAGGGTGGAGCAGGTCTGCCTGTCCCCAACCCCCACCACACTGCCTGCAGATTGAAGCATGCTCCTGACAGAGGAGGAGGCTTGGATCTGTTTTTAAAGCTACTAAAAAGTTAGGCATAAACTTGCAGGTGAGTCCCTGGGCATTGGCACAGCCCCTAACTCTCTTTCCCCTGGTTGGGTCTACAGAACTCTCTGGAAGGATGAGGTCCTCCCTGACGCCTTTGGGGCCCCCTGTGAGCCGGGACCGCATCATCGCCAGCTTCCCTAAGGTAGAGAGTCATTAGGCCAGACCTTTACATGTGCACTACTCTCCTGAGACCATCCACATCTAGCTTGCCCCACCTACACTCCCCACCAGAAACAAACCAGGTGAATCAGGGAGGTCAGCTCCTTGCCAACAGACTCCAGGAACTTACTAGACTTCTTGAGAAGCTGGGAGACATGGCGTTGTCTTGACCGAGGTGGGCCAGGAGACACTGTGGCATGGGACTTTGCAATCAGACAGTCGTGGGTATGAATCCTGAATCTGTCATTAAGCTGTGTGACTGTGGGCAAGTTACTCAACCTCTCGGAGCCATTGTTACTCAGAATAATTTACTGGCTCATAGTAAACGGGAACTCCCTTGCCTGAGTAGTGGCCGTTGTTCTCATCATTATTATTATTATGATTATCAAAACAGCACTCCAGTTTCCTGGCACCAAATCCAGGGTTCTCCCTCCTTGTCACTCTGCCCTCAGTTCCTACTGAAAACTCAGTTCTCTTCCATCTATATTAAAATCCAACATTAATTTATGCAGAAGTGCAAATTAGTACAACCTCCTTAGGGGATGTGGGACAATATTTCCCAGCATTGCAATGCCCCCACCCTCTGATCCAGCCATTCAAGGCCAGGCATTGCAACAGTTTGTAAAGCTAAAGGTCAGACACAATGTAAATGTCCTTGGAGAGGGAGCTGCTTAATCAACAAAGTGCTACTTGCTAACAAAGAAAGAGAAATGAGGCACTTCTCCAGGTGCTAATGTGCAGAGAGAGCCAAAGTAAAAATGCAAGGATTGGAGCAGTGTGTGTAGCAAACTACTATGTGTGACAGAAAAAGAAGGGAGAAGAGAAACGTATATGTTTGCTTATACATGCAGAAAATATCTCTGGAAGAATACATAAGATCCAGCTATTGGGTTACCTCCATGTGGCTTGGGAGAAATCTCCATGGAGTAACCTTTTACCTTTGGAATTCTGTGCCCAGGCTGTTAGAGAAGGAAGTGACTGTAGTCTCTGGGTATTTTGGATCTGCAGTCATTCCTCCTGCCCCTTTTCTGCTTCCCCCCAGAGTTCTTTTTCCACACACCCACAAAGAAAGCCTTGATGTCTCAGACCCATGGACAATTCCCCCAGGATTTTCCATCTCATTAGACGCCCAGGCGATTACTTCCAGACTGTCAGGGATGACAAAGACTGGCATTTAATGAGCCAAAAGGAAAGGAAATGTGATTGGCACAAAACAGTCCAGGCCTTAGGGGCCGAAGGACCCCATTTACAGAGCAAGACAGTGAGGCTCAGAGAGTTAGGGAGGGCTGCCTGAAGTCACACAGCTGGGCATGGTGGAGCCAGGATTTGACCTGGCTGTGGTTGACTACAGAGCTCTGACTTTCCCCTACCCTGGGAGGCATCTGTTTCCACAGAAGGTCAGATTCTCCCCCACTGCCTGTGGCAGTCAGGAGTCACAGGCCCCAGCTGGCCAAGTTCATCCTGTACCCCAGGACCATACCATTTCAGACCTGAGAAATTTGTGGTCTGGTGGGGCAAGTCCTTCCCTTCACTCTGTGTGCCTCAGTTTTCCTGTCTCTAAAACTGGCTCACACTGCCTGCCCAGCCTTCCTTATTACACTTCTCCAGTCCAGCCAAAATTAAGGGATTCCTCTAATGACCACTGTGCCCTGGCTGGGCCCCAATTTGAAGGTGACATACAAGTCGACAGGAAAAAGCAGCCAGCTTCCATATTACGTAGCCAACACTCTTCTGAATGAGTGTGGGCTGCTGGGCTAAGCTGTTCCCCTGCGTTACCCTTTTAATCCTCCCACGACCAGATAAAGAGGTGCTATTAGGAGTGTCCCCCCTTTAGAGATGAGGAAATAGGCTCAGTGAGGTTTGCAAAGGTCCTTCCACTGTCCCTGCTGTCTTGGTCAGACCTGGAGCTGAGAGGGCACATGGGCCAGAGCCCATGCCAATGCCTGAGAGCTCAGAAGAAACACTAGGGCTAAGGGATGTGACCAAACCCCTGCCACAGGGGACCTGTAGGTCTAAGCAGTGCCCTGAGGAACAGAGCAGGTGCCGTGTCATAGCAGAGCACATAAGCAGTCTCCAGTGATGCCATTCTCTCCATGTCCTTGCCACACTCTATGCTTAGCCTTGGACAATCTGAGAACAAAACTTAATGGTCATTTAAGTTTGTTTTTCTAGTTGTGAAACAAATGTACATTCAGCACATGTCATGGCATCTTAATAGCCAGGAACATTAGTTGAGCACTTAGTATGTGTCAAGCTAGCTCTGTGCTTTACAAACATTATCTCATTTTATGCCCCCAAGCCCCTGAGGTTTTACCAACGGGGAAATTAAAGTTCAGAGACATTAGGCAACTGCCCAGGGTCACACAGCAGCTAAGGGTGGATGCAGGTCTTCTTGACCCTGAGGTTGTGCTCTTAAACCACTGCCTAGTTCTGTCTTCCAAATATTGTGGACGACCTTAATGCCTTCCGGGGCATTTTCCATGCACATATATACATATTTTAAAAACAAAAATAGCATAGACATCTCTAGAAGCTATAGGAGGATCTTGGAGCTAAAAGGGCCCTTACAGTTCACCCTTTGTCTCGCCCCAAGAGGACCAGAGGAGACAGAAACCTGCCATGTGCCCATAGTAAGGGCATAGCCACCCTAGGTGAGGCCCAGCTTTCCTGGTCTCCACCTGGGCTCTTTGGTCTGGCTCTGCCCCTGCTACTCCTCTTCGGGACACATAAGACCTGGAGTCTTGATGCTGCTGACAAGATAGAGGATGGATGTGACAGAGGGACCAGGGAAAGCTAATGAGGCTGCCAGGTGTGAGGCTTAAGTGGTTCCTGCAAGTCACTACTTCGCTGTCCTGCTCAGTGATGGAGTCACAGCTTTGCAGGGTGATGTGCCCATTTGTCTGTCTGTCTGTCTGTCTGACTCTTTCCAGTGGTACACGCCTGATGCCTGCCTGCAGCTCAAGGAGCACTTCCATGGGCAGGTCAATGCCGCCTGCCAGCGCAGGAACACAGGGACTGTTGGGTGAGCACAGGGCGTGGGATGTGGGGGAGCCAGCAGGAAGGAATGAGTGCATGAGTGGACATGTGAATGCACACGTGAAACACTTACCCAGACTACACCAGGGCAACCCAGGATAGGCCTGAACACGATGGGAATTTTAGCTGGCTTTATTGGCTACGTTTCTGCTATATAGAACAGCTTTCCCATTTCTCAGTAAGTCATGCACGTGATTTTTCAGCCTGAGGTCTCATCATTTGCCTTTTTCCTTTGTAAAGTTTTTCCTGCTCTGTCAGGTCCTCAAAGGGCCTTCTCTGAGCCCCCCACTACCCCTACCCTTGTCTGGACTTGGCTGGGCAGGGCACCCCTCCTGTGAGTTCCTCTGCCCAACACACTTATCTCAAGAGATCATGAGTTTGCTGCCTGGATTCCTCACATGAGGGTGAGGGCTGAGTCTGCTTTGTTCCTGCCTCAGCCACACCTGGCCCTGCTGGCACAGGGATGCAACACTCACTCCTTTTAACAAACAGGTACGAGGGCCTGCTTTGGTGCCTCATCCTGAGGAGCTCACAGTCTGCTTGGGGAGTTGGCTGATCTCGGAGGTGTCACACAGGTGTGGGGAAGTTGCAGTGCAGGCCCAGTTCTGAGGTTCCCAAGGTGGCTCAAAGTGAGGCAGGGGGCTCAGGTCAGAATGTCCAGAGCAGCTGTGGTCTTGGGATGAGAGTAACGGCCACCATACCAGGTGCTTCACGCAGATGATCTCCCTGACCCTTCCCAAGAGCACTGGAAGGTGGGGAAACTGAGGCACAGAAGGTACCCCTACAGCACCTCAGCAGTACCTTTATTCCTTCATCTGAGAAGCAGAGTAGGTGACACCCTGTTCTAAAACTAGAGGCTGCCTGGGAGCAGAGTAGACACAGACTCTGCCCTCACAGGCATGGCCAGGTGAGCTGCACCAGGTCACCAGTGACACGGAGGTGCCCTCTTCCTGTCTGCGGGCACAGGAAGTGCCTGGTCAGGTGTTACTTGTTGAGTTTTTACATGAGCTGCAGAAACTCAAAGCATCACCTGCAGTCCCAGGAATGCTGCTGCACAGAATGCAGGACACACAGAGTGAGGTGGCAGCTGCTCTTGGTGAGCAGAGTCACCAGAGAGCCTGAGAACCTCAGAGCCGATTTACCTCCAAGCTTGCAGACCCGAGTTCTGTCTATGACGAGCCGTTGGCCTGGCTGGCCCTAGCAGACACCTCCAAGGGAGTGGGTGTGTCCCTCTCAGGAGTGACTGCTTGCAAGGAGCAGGAGGATCCCACCAGGAGTGTAGCCCCAGGGGTGGTAGGAGGTGCTGGGGCTCTGTCCCCCACCCCCCTGCTGTGTCCCCAGCTCATGGGCACTCTGTCTGCACCCTCAGAGTGCTCCAGGTTCCCGGCTGTGCCCCCAGCGTGGATGCAGCCTCACATAGGGCTCTTCCCTGTGCTTCCTCAGCCTCTCATTGTGCCCAGATTCTCTAATTCTCCTGTCAGGGACTTGGGCTCAGCATGGTTAGGGGCACATCCCCAGGGACAGCAGAGTCCCCAGAACTAAAGCAGACTCTCCTGCCCTCCTCTCTGACACCTGGGGATGAGCACAGTCATCCCAGAGTGTCTCAGCAAGTGTCCTGTCACCTGTCCAGGATTGAGGGGTGGCTCACAGGTGGGGAGCGCAGGGAAGGAAGAGTCAGTGTGTGAAGATGCTCTTGCGACCATGCTTGAGAGCCACACGGCCATATTCTTCACAGGCTCAGCCTCTCCAAGGTGGTGGTTGTTGGTGACCTCTACGTGGGCAAGACCAGCCTCATCCACAGGTAAGCAGGCCTGGGAGGCCCAGATGACATTGTCATAGTGGAGACTGCTGGGAACCACACCCCGTGGAAGGCGTGCAGGAAATCAGGGAGATGGTGGGGTCAGTGGAGAGTATGGCATCTCAGGACCCTGGCATTGGTCACACTGTCCCCTCACTGCCATAGGCTCACCCCTCACTGCCCTCGCTAGGAAAGGGTGCCCAGTTTCTCTTTCTCTGCCCCTGACTTGCAGTGTTTGCTACAGCCTGCCCCCCGCCTCCCACCCCCACATAGTTCTTGTTGGCTGTCTCTCCATGGTCTGTCTCTATTGATTTTCATCTCTTTAATGATTCCCAATGGCTGGACTTTTAGTTGCTTCCAGACTTTCATTGTTGTGAGCGAAGCTTCTCTGCAGCTTCTCTGATAACTTGCTCCCACAGGTTTTGCAAAAATGTTTTTGACCATGACTACAAGGCCACCATCGGGGTGGACTTTGAAATAGAGCGTTTTGAGATTGCTGGGATCCCCTACAGCCTTCAGATGTAAGTCCCTGTTGTTTGGCACTGTTGCCTGCATGGCTTATGGGCGGGCTTTGGGGACACCCCTGATGAGCTGTTTCTCAACTGTCCAGTGGCACTCAGCGAGGACCCATCTGAACAAACAGGGCACTGCTGCTCATGGCCCCACTAGCCTACTGAGCTCCGACTACTGCAATCACTTAATCTGCCACTTCTCTGTTTCCCTTTCTCTCTCTGCCACCGGACAGCTGGGACACAGCAGGGCAAGAGAAGTTCAAGTGCATCGCATCTGCCTACTACCGGGGTGCCCAGGGTGAGCAGTGGGTAATGGCAATGGTAGGGCCCTCAATGTCATGCAGCAGAGGGCTCCCTGCCAGCTAAACAGTGATTAAGTCCGGGCCCTCTGCACAGGCCCCATATCTGTCCCCAAGAAGCACTGAGAACCCCTCTGGCCAGTCCTCGGGGCCTGGACTAGCCTCAGCAGTCACACCCTTATGAACCCTGTGGTGATGGGCTCCCAGTGAGTCTCAGCCCCAGTGTCAGCTCAGAAAGACACACAGAGGGAGAAGAGCATGTCCAGAGACCCCAGAAAGAAGAGCAGAGTTGACTCCAGGGGGAGGTGGGGGAGGCTAGGCCACTGATGAGATGGGGAGAGGGGGCACACTGCATTTCTGTTTTCCACCCTCCCTGCTCCTCAGAAATTGTTTCCCTAAAGCTGATTGTTGCTGATTGCTGTCACGGCATAGCTGCCATTGGTCAAAAGCCTGCCCTGCATCAGGCCTTGAACCAAGAGCTTTTAAAATATCTGCTCTGGCTTAAACCTCACAGCAACCCTGAGAGCTAGAGGTAACTGTCCTCACCATTTCACAGATGGGGAAACAGGTAGTTAAGGCCCTCATCCGAGCTCTCTTAGCTATGCATGGCAGAGGGGAGATTTGAACTCAGGAGCTCCAAGCTCATCTTGCCTCACTGGATCCCCTACTGTGACTGCTGGGTGTGGGTCAGGGAGGGCATGAGAGGGTGGGTCACGAGGGGAAGCCATGGGATGTCTCCTTCCCAGCCTCCATTGTGAGGGCCAGAGCTGAGTGCCTTGGGGCTCACCCCAGCAGTTCCTGGGGAGCAGAGAGCTGCCTGAAGGGAGCTGCCCTTGTCATGCGCTTTTTGTCTCACATATTGCTGACCAGCTCTTGGCTTTTCCCCACATGTGCAGTGATCATCACAGCCTTTGACCTTACTGACGTGCAGACTCTGGAACATACCAGGCAAGTCTGGGAATCTGCAGCCCCTGTGGTCCCCCTGGGCTCAGAAAACCACCTGGAAGGGCTCCCCAAATCTGGGCCCATGAGCTGGACCCATGAGCTGGGCCCCTGACGGCAGGTGTGAGGGACCAGCTCTCTTGTCAGGACTGCCCACAGGTGACTTACTATTCAGTTGCCCTATCACTCAAGATTTGCACCCACATGCTGAAGTCAGGCTGTCTGAGGGTGCATCACCGGCATAGTCGCAGGGGCCTGTGCTCAGAAGGGCCTGTTTTTGCTCTGCTGCTCTGCTGTTGCCATCTTGAAAGCCTTAATGTTGGATGAAGGGCCTTGGATTTTCATTTTTCCTTGGCCCTGCAAATTAGATATCCGGTCCTGTCTGAAGGGACGTGATTTGGCACTTACTGTCTTGGGCAGAGATCTAGACAAGAGAGCTGGCAACATGACCAGTTCCCAGAGCCCTCCTGCTTCTTCCGGGAATCACCCAGCTAATGGACCAAGTCGCCTTCCCCTCGCTTTTGTTTGGTCATTCTAGCATCCCTCAAACCCTGTGAGGGAGGCTGGGAGAGCGTTTCGGTTCATAATAGTGCAGGACTCGCCCAAGTAGACACAGGGCAAGGGCAGAACTGTGGTCAAGACTGGGTCTCCACCTCCCCTGACCGGTGCTCTTGTGACCCCACTCCCCTGTAGTCCAGCCAAGGCCCTTCTGGCCTCAGGCCCAGCGCCTTCTCAGACAGTGTGGGTCAAGGTACCCTCAAGGCATCTCCCGGCTCAGTGTTCCCAGCCCTGGGGAAGAATCGGTTCTGCACCCATCCCCTGGTCTTTCTCAGGCCTCTCTGGGTGGGTAGGGCTGTCACAGCCAGTCTCACCCCCACCACCATCAACCCTCTGTTTATTCCAGGCAGTGGCTGGAGGACGCACTGAGAGAGAACGAGCCGGGTTCCTGCTTTGTATTTCTCGTGGGAACCAAGAAGGACCTTCTGGTGATCCGTGGTGGCCCCCAGGAAAACGTATCTGATTTCAGGCCAAGCTTGGGAACTGGAGGGTGGCACTGACATGGCCAGATGAGGATTTGAAGACTACAGGCCTGGGACCTGAAAGTTAGGGGCGCTCATCTCAGGGAGGCGCAGCTGGTACTCAGACTTGCCCAGGACTGCTGGGGTCTCACCCCTGGGTGGGCATCCCCCACCCACCCCTGAACTGGGGCCTGCCCAGGGTGAGATGGGGAGGAAGGAGACATAGTGGGAGGTGGGCGGCCACCTCCCAGGGCGCCCCCTTGAAGAAGGACCACTTCTCCCAGTCAAGGGCGGCGTGTGAGCAGGCAGAAGTGGAGGCCGTGCGCCTGGCCAACGAGATGCAGGCCGAGTACTGGTCGGTGTCAGCTAAGACAGGTGAGTGAGCACGGGGCTATCGCCATGGTGGACTCGGGCCAGCTGTGGGAGGCTCATGCATTTCCTTCTACGGGCCACCGAGTTGCCCTCCGTCGCAGCCAGCTATGCTTATGACTGTTCAGGGCTCCCCATTGCCTGAGCAGAGTCTCCTCATCTCTAGGGGAGACTGGGAGCCCTGCCCCATGGGCCACAGGAATAGTGACACCTGACCCTCTGGGCAGGGCAGTTTTGTCCCTGTGAAGTCACTTCCAGGGTCCCAGGATGGCAGTGCCAGGTCTAGGATTAGAACTCAGCCCTCACCTGTAACCACTGCAGCGTCCTGCCCACAACCTGTGGATGCCGTGTGAAAGGCACTGCCTGGCACATAGAAGGGCCTGGTAACTGGCAGCTCCCATCCCTTCCCTGGGTGGCATTGTGGAAGATACTGAAACATTGCTTACGGCTGCCAGCTGTCATTCAGATCACACTTGATCTGGCCCCTGGCCCCTGAGCCACCTTCCTCCATGAGCCACTGTTCACCATGGCCCCGGAAAGATGCCCAGCATCTCTGAGCCTCAGTATCCTCATCTGGGAAGCAGGTGATGCTGTCTAGCTCATTTTATTTTTAATGAAAAAGCATGTTTGAAATTACAAAAGCCATATGTATTCACTGGGAAAAATTAGACAACGCAGAGAAGCAAAGAAAAGACCTTGAAAACACAAGTTGTTGGAGGCATAAAATGAAATAGCGGGCAGGGAGTGCCTGGCGCACAGAGGATCTGGGGACTCAGGCACTATGCCCGCACGGTAGGCCTTGTCCTGGTGAGGGGCCAGAGCAGGCGCTGGCCAGGAGCTAGGTGAGGAGCGGGAAGGCTGAGGATAGGCGCCACAGGTAGAAGCACCACCTCCAGCCCAACCCAACACAAATGTGGTAGCACCCAGGCCTTGGTTCCCTCTGCTCCTTCCTGCTGCACCCCCTGCCCTGTGAGAACCCTCCCTCTCATCAGAGTAACTGCGTGTTCACCGAGGACTCCCTGTGGGCCACACAGAATTTCTCTGCGCAGTTGTCCAGGCTGTTGGCTACACAGGGCAGTGTGCGTGTGGGGGACTGGAACCCCATCCTGTGGCCGGGGGGCAGCCTCTTTCACCTGGAGGAGGGTCCCCAGAGGCTCCATGTAGGGCTGGAAGCACATGTTAATCCTCACAGCTGCCCACTGGACAGGTGCTCACAAGTTACAGGAGGGCGGGCACCCTATGATTGTCACACATCCCCACGCCTGGCCCACAGGACGTGCTCAGTCCGATTGATTAGAAGAATAGATTGTGGGAAGCCAAGGAGCAGAGATTTGAGGGAGCTGCTGGGGCAGGTGGCCAGACTGAGGAGGGGACTGGAGCCTAGGGGAAGCCAGTGCACTGCACTGCCCCAGGCAGCCCCAGAGGTGGACTGCCCTGACCTCATACCCACTGGCTCCCACCCCAATGCGCCTGCGGGTGAGGGCAGAGGCCGACATGGTCACAGCTGTTTCGTGGGCTCACAGGGGAGAACGTGAAGGCCTTCTTCAGCCGCGTGGCCGCCCTGGCGTTCGAGCAGTCGGTGCTGCAAGACCTGGACAGGAGGAGCAGCTCGTGGCTCCAGGTCGGCGATGGAGACCTCATCCGTGCGTACAGGCAGCTGGGTTGGGGCTGGAAGCAGGCCTGTGACCTCAAATCCACGTCCATCTTCCTCCCATCCCCCTCTCTGGGCTGTCCTTTCTCCTATCACTCTAACCTCAGGCCTGTAGTCTCCCTGACCCCACCTGCCAGCTCAGACTCCCTCCCTGGCTCCCCTTGTCTGCCTGGCAGTCTTCTCGTGGGACTCCAGGCTCCCTGGGTGTGTCCTGGCTTTGGCTCTCCTAGTACCTACCTTTACCCATTCTGTTCCATCACCTGGGATGCGTCTCTGTGCCAGGCCTTGAATGAAAGGCCTTGAGGTTCAAGTTCACAGCTCTGACCAGCAGTCACCAGAGGGCATCAGCAGTGGGGGCCCTGTCCAGTGTCCCTGCAGGTGCCTGGGTGATGTCAAGTGACTTCTCCCCTCCTCATAGGAATGGAGGGAAGTCCATCCGAGACCCAAGAGAGCAAGACGCCCTCCAGCCTGGGTTGCTGTTAGCTGGGGCTGTGTCAGAGGCCTCCACACCCGACACATACATGGACAATGCCTTCTGTGACTGTGGAGGGGTGACATGGAGCCTGAACTCTGCGATGTGTCTGTCTACCCAGCGCTCCAGTGTTCAGCCACTTCTCTTTAGCAGGTCGGGAGCCAGGAAAGGCCCTCACTGGCTGCCCAGGGACTCTACACTGCCCAACTTGTGGGCCACTGTGGTGATATCTGGAAGGCCAGTCTCACCTACAGAGTCACCAGTCTACCCTGGCCTTGAGAGGCCTCAGACTACAGACACACGGCCCACATCTCTTGCCCTCAGCACATGTCAGCATCTGCCCGGGTGCTCTTCCTCAGCTCTCTGTAGTTGGCCTCCGAATCCTTCTGATCTCAGTGGTCCCGGTAAGCAGGACTTGCCAGAGTCAGCACATGAGGAATCCCTACCAGGGACTTTTATGTTTGCAACAGGACTCGCAGCTCTGGGTCTCCCTGTCCACTGTCCCTCTGCCAGTCTTGCAGGGGCCCTGGGTAGCCTTGCCTCTCTGGAGGATGATGGATGAGAAGGCCTCTCTGGCCACTTCTGGCTGAGGGTCCATCTCTGGCTCCTCCTCGACCAGTGGGCGAGGTCCAGCAGAACAGGCCGCTCATAGCCCTCTGGCCCCCCTGGACAATCGATTTCCCCAACCAAGCTGCAGGAAAGACTGCCCAGCTGCCCCTGGGGTAGCTCGCTGCTACATCCCTTGAGCATGGCACTGCCCTGCTCTACAACCGGTGGCAGTCACCTAGACTCTGCTGGGTAGTGCCTACTGTTGCCCCCACTACCCCTCTCCCCCACCTGCCTGCACCAGAAGGGACTGGGAATGAGAAAGTACTGGGCACTTGCCTCTCAGGACCTTTGCGATGGCATCCACATGTCTTTGGAGGACATTGGAGGCCCTCCAGAGTCTAGCGTGCTCCTGTCTCCACCACCCCTCCTGCACACCCAGACAGGCAGGAACAGCCCAGGCCCCCATCCCCAGCTCCTGCCCAGAGTGCCCCGCCCTCTCCATGCCCTCCTGTTACTTCTCCATGGGGGCTATTAACTGCCCCCTACCACCCCACACTCCCACAGCCCTAGGTGTGAGCCACTCATCCCTGCCCGCCTTGTGCCATAGGCAGGCAGGCATGTCTGGGCACATCCCACCTGCTTCGCGCAGATGCTCAGTGTTTTGCGGGCAGCATTCTGGTCAGTGTTGCCCAGCACCCCGGACAGTGCCCGGCACACTACAGGTGCTCACAGCGACTGCCAAACATCAGTGGGGGAAGAATACTGGCATCTTTTTCTGTTTACTCCCCTTTTGCCACATTTTTAGCTCTCTTTTTTTACAGATATAAAATACTTCTTTGTAAAAATGATTCTTAAAGGAATTGCGTGCTTATTGTAAAACAAAACGAGGGTACATAGCTTTGTGTGCAAAATGAGGGCCCCCCTCCAGTTGGTGGCACTCCTGGGAAGTAAGCGCTGTTCACAGCTGGTAGGATTCCTTCCAGACTGTTCCTGTGTGAGCACAACCACGACATTTGTTGCTTGCTTGTTGTTTAATCTGAATGACCTCTCTCCGCACACACTACCCCTCTCTCCAGAGGGACCAGAGTTTCTTAAGCAGGGAGACCTAAGGTCACCTAAGAGCTGGAGCATGGAGGAGAACAGATCAGTTACATTCACATGTTCATTCATTCACATGAGTAAGAACTAGTGAACCAAGGAGAGGCCCTGGGAGAGGAGATCCAGGCCATGGGGGACTGCAGAGGGGACACAGCAACCTGACTGAGGACACCCAGGGCAGGGACGAGAGAAGGTGTGGGTCAGGGCACACAGCTCAGCAGTGCACAGCTCAGAGAGGGTCCCCCTCTTCTAAGGGAGAAGGGCTCCTGGAGGTGGGGTGGGGGCTGGGCACTCTGCCACCCAGGAAGCCCAGGGCTTTGGCTACCGTCCCGAGACAAGACACCCTCCCAGCAGCTCCCGGACTACTCTGCCATCTGCTATGGCCTCCCGATGTCACTTCCCATATGTCGGCCCTTCCCCTGAGGGAAGCTGCTCAGCAGACTGGAACTGTGGCTGTCATACTGCCTCCGTCCAGGAAGAGCAGAACCTTCCCGGACTCTACCCCCCATCCAGATGCCTCCCCAGCATTCAGGGCCACCCGCCACCTGTCTGAGCCTGCATCCCAGGTGACTATGGGAGCTGTCAGTCTGGTGGGCAGGCCCTTTGATCAGCTTGCTTCCCACTCAGTCCCCCAGGGAAGCAGAGCAGCCCCAGGCCTCCCTCGTCCCCCACAGGTGCGTGGCACTGCCTGGCTTGAGGGTGCTCTGGGCCTCTGACCGCTGGAAGCCACAGCCTGGACCATGTCCGTGGTCATGCCTTCAGGCACAGGCTCATCTTGCCCCTGCCCCTGTGCTCTCACGGAAGGCTGGAAGGCAGCCACAATACTCCCCTGGGACTCCCGGGCTGTAAGGGCCTCATCAATAATTGATTCTGCAGGAGGTGGGCGGAGTTACAGCTGAGGGGGCCTGGGAGGAAAGGCCCACACTCTCACTCATTGGAGCCCTTGGCCAAGGAGGTCCCGAGGAGACCTCTGCTCCCCACTCTGGGCTGGGGGCGGGGAGCCTGGAGGAGGTGCTCAGCCAGGCACTGTCCAGCACAGCACAAGCAAACAGGACTAAAGAACAGCTGTATTGATTGCCCCACTTTCCAGATCTTGCCTAAAGCTCCCTGGGGCTGGCCGATGATGGATGGTGGATGACAGATGACAGATGGGGGTCATGTGGGCCTCCTCCTTGAAGGGAGTCCTCCTCTGGCCTCTGACCCCCAAAGCGGGTGGGGATAGGGGTACATACAGGGCAGGGAAGGAGCAAGAGAGCCCTGCCATCTTTGTAATGCCACACCTGACAATCCTGCCTGATGACACGGGTCAGAAACAGCGCTTTGGGACTCAGGCGGGCTGGGCTCAAGTCTGAGCCCCTTCCCCTGCCTCTTGCACAGATGATGGTTGTGAGGGTGAAAGGAAGTCCCATCTATGGAGCCCCCAGCCCCAGGGTGGGCAGCTGGCAAGAGCTAGGTGGATATGAGCCCTGAAGACTGTGCGACTCGTAAGTGCCACTGTGCCCACCCACACAGTGCCTTTGCATGAATTAGAAAAAGGCATCCTTGCAGTTCCTTGAAAACCACAGAATTGCTATAGGACCCAGGAATGCCATTCCTAGGTATATGCCCCAAAGAATTAAAAACGGACTCAAACAAGTACGTGTACACACAGGTTCAGAGCAGCATTATCCACACCAGCCAAACATCCACCAACAGATGAACAGATAAACAGAACATGGTCTATCCGTACAATGGAATATTACTCAGCCCTAAAAAGGAATGAAGTACTGATACATGCTACAGCATGATGAACCTTGAAAACAGTATGATCCGTGAAAGAAGACAGTCACAAAAAGCCACATATTGTAAGGTTCCATGGAATATCCAGAATAGGTAAATTCCCAGAGACAGAAAGTAGGTTGGTGGTTGCCAGGAACTAGAGGGAGGGGAAATAGGAAGCAACTGCTTAATGGGTATGGGGTTTCCTTTTGGGATGATGAAAGTATTTTTGAACTAGATACAAGTTATGATTTCACAATGTTGTGAATTTCCAAAATGCCTCTGAATTGTTCACCTTAAAATGGTTAATTCTATGTTATGTAAATTTCACCTCAGTTTTAAAAAAGCACTCATTGCTCAAGGCATTTGATGTCTGTTAGAAAACTGTGTTATAAATGGATTTTGTAAGAGCAAGACAACTTTTTACAATTGCTGTCACCACCAGGATTCATATCTAACCAGCTCTAAGCTGGGAATGGCGTCCCCTTTGATGTGTGGCCTAGTGCCCAACTGTAGCTGGCAGCCCTGCTCAGGAAGCCCCCAAGGAGGGCAGGGGTGGCCAGTCCATTTTACAATGAACAAGTAGACATTTGAAGAATCAGTCAGTCCCTTCCTGGTTTCACACTAGTGGGGCCTTCTGACATCGGAACGACACAGAGAACATAGGCTCTGGAGCAGGAAGACTAGGTCTCAAGCCTGCCCTCAGCGGAAGGTCTGGGTGACCTGGGAACGGGTCTTCATCTGTGAAGTGGGAGTGAAACCCTGGTCTAGTGGGAGGATTTAAGAAGATGCTAGAAGCTAGCTGGCGTGGCTCAGAGGTTGAGCATCGACCTAGGATCCAGGAGATCAAGGTTTGATTCCTGGTCAGGGCACATGCCGGGGTTTTGGACTCGATCCCCGG